CACTGTTCGCTAGCAACACTTGCCCCTACAGTCTGTTACAGGCTATCTATTAATACTATTAATACACAGACACAAAGGCTCCCCACAGGCTATACACACTCACATTCACTCACATACTCACTCACACACTCACACGCTCACTCGCCCACACACTCACTCACATGCTCACTCACACGCTCACTCGCCCACACACTCACTCACATACTCACTCACTCACACACTCACTCACATGCTCACTCGCCCACACACTCACTCGCTCACACACTCACTCACACACTCACTCGCCCACACTCACACATTCACATACTCACTCAATCCCACACTCACTCGCCCACAGACACTCACACATTCACCCACTCACACACTCACCCACACATTCACACTTACACGCACACACATATTAACTCACACAAAGTGACTTAGTCACACATTCATTCACCCAACAACAACCACCATTTGCCACTACGTGGTGGTGATGTGACCACGACGTTTCTGCCAGGCTATGTGCACGTTAAGGTCACGTGAAATGGCGAAAGCCTGCTGGCAGGAGGTCACGGGGCAGACCCAGGTGCCACGGGTCGACTGACTGAGATGAGTGGCCGAAGCACCACCTGTGTCCCCTACTGTGCCAACTTGTTCTGCTTTAGCCACCCGGCGCTCTGCTCGTTGTTGTGAGCGTCGCTCCTCCCCCTCTCCGTTGTTATTGGAGGGCGACTGCCTCCAACTGCCCAGTAGCGTCCTTCAAGAGCCTCCTCCACAGAGGGTGATCTTGACACCGCTGGTACCAGTCATCGGCAAGTCCACTCAGCTCCACATCCTCCTGTACCATCTCTTCTCCACGTTTCGCAAGCATAGAGAAGTGAGGGAATGACCGAGAAGACCTCAAAATTCGTTCGAAGCGACAGACCAGGTAGCATCCACACAGCATTATGTAACCGATGAAAAGATAATGGCACACAACAGATTTGTAGTGAGACCTCTGCTGGTTAACAGGAGCCAATCATGAATACACTGCGCAGGTATGGGAAACTCTCCACTCTCTCCACAACTGCCCTACCACCAATTGGGAGTGTCCAATGGTACAAAATACCCAGGCAGGTGCTTAGTTTTGGTGGGGCTGATGGTAAGGCCCCACCTCTTCGCGGAAAGCTCAAGGTTCAGCAGCAGCGCCTTCAACTCCTCCTCTGAGTAAGCAGCAATTACCAGATCATCGGCAAAAGTAACATGGTTGAGCAATAGGCAGCCATCCCTTCACCACACCTGGGCATTGATCAGCCTGTTGTATATATGCCCCATTTTCCATCTTTGATGTTAACAAGAAATGTGTCGATACACGTGTTTTTTTTCCTCCTCGAAATAATGAATGAAAACAACCCCAATCCCTCAGCAACGGCATGTGGAGGTCATGGAAAAGCCATTTACCATGACCTACTGACATGATTTTGACAATTCACAAACAGGCACAGGGTCAGAGGGAACAGACAGAACGCAGAGCACAGCAAATTGCAGGACTGATGTAAATGCCGGGCCAGGGTCGACGGGAGTTCGCATTAGCCCAGACATAGGTAAGTCAAACTGCATTTATCCTGCATTGCTATTAAAGTAACGTTAAGTGATGACGTCACCCTGCTGCTCTATATAAAACCGGGAGCAAGCGAGGGCTGTACCATTCTGGCGAATTGCCCAATGATGCTGGATGTATTTGTAGAGGTGTTAACTACGCGCTGTTGCGTAACCTGCGTTGCCACCAGGGCAGTGCAGCATTACCCCTGGGTACAATGGTTGGGGTCAGTCGAGGTGAAACGGATCGTGGCCAGACGGTTCCATGTGGGAATCGTGGCCAGACGGTTCCATGTGGGAATGTATGATTGGTTCTACCTGGCCACGAAGGGGTATAAGACGGGTGACCCACGGACCTCGGGGAGTTCTCTCCCTGCACGAAGATAGAAGACTGGGCTGAAGCCTAGCTAGGACCCTGGACCAGCCTTTCAGCCCTTCTAAGGGCTAAGGCTCGGCATACCCAGTGGTCAGGACCCACGGGGCCAGCGGTGGGTCAGATAGCCTCCCCTAGGTCCTAGCCGGAGGACTAGGATAGCGGTAGACGTGTAAGTCCCGCCAAGTCCGGAGGTTGTACCTCCTTAGGTATCAAGGAGGTTAGCGGTAGGCGTGAGAGTCCCGCCAGGTCCGGAGGCTGTACCTCCCTAGGGTATCGGGTGAGGGGACCGAATATCCCTCTGTGCGTGTTAAGCGTTGTATAAGGAAAAAATACAATAAACAGAGTGTGCCTCCTAAAGAAGTCTGCTCGTCCTTACAACACTACATATTTACCAGCGAAACGTCGTACTCAAACTGTAAATGTTGTGGATTCACTCTTCAACACACCGGTGGGCTAAAGTAGTGAATTATTTGTCTTTTGTCAACGTGACACTTTTTTTGCTGATTGGCCGTGTCGGGTGGTGGAGGGTTACGACACATTTATAAATAAACGCGATCTAACCCAAAAACCTTTATTATGAATAATATTGGTCGCGAAAGCCTATGTGTTAAACAGGAATAGGCTAAAATTATCAATCCTCGCGCTCGCTCCAATTGGAGACCAGGCTGCGAGCTACAGCAATGAACCATTGCCCACTTATTAATTCAATACTGAATGTTTAGTAATTTTAATAATTTCAACACAACTTGACCTGAAGCATATGGCATTCAGAATTTTTCCTAAGTCAAAACGAATTCTCTAACCTCCGGACATAAGCAAATAATAATGCAGTGTTAATTTAAAGTAAAAAAACACGTAAGTCAGAACGGCCAGAGAGTGTGGGGCAGAGACTGAGAGAGACAGCGAGAGAGTGCAGGCCAGAGAGTGTCAGCAGAGACTGCGAGAGACAGCGAGAGAGTGGGGCAGGGAGTTTTCAGTTAAAGGAACCATGTATAATTTCATACAACATTAATGTTGGTGCTATTCACCGTGAACTATATCCCGCTTACATAACCTTGCAGATACTTGAGCGATGTTAAACCGGGGGCCAGGAAAAAAGAGTATCTCCCGGCCGCCTTTGTCTTCCTGCAGTACATGATAGGAATATGCTTACGCTTAAGGGAGCACCTTCCCTTGACATAAGTCAAACACCACGATGGAAAGCTGACACGACAGACCTTGGGTTACACACAGAATCATGGCTGCGGGTGGTGCGATATCAAACTGTGAGAGATAAATGTTAACTTTAAAAACTTTAACCATTCCTTTGTGTGTCGGGAACATGACATGCAGTGAGGGAAGCTTGCCCCTCCCTCTCGCGCCGGCAGACAGAGAGACGCCTTCGAGACGATTTGTAACATCTGTTTGTTTTACTTTTTGGTGGTTTATGTAAAGAGGAGGACAACAGAACTATGCCGTAAATGACGCACACAAGGACACACACTGACACACATACGGACGGACACACATACGGACGCGCACATACGAACACGCGCTCCAGACCACGACACAGCTAAATCAAAAGAAGCTCTGCCTTGTGGGGAGGAGCCAAGAGGAGGAATTCTGGCATAAAAGAGGACACTGCAGCATTGAAACCTCAGTTCGGCCGGCTCATCGGAGCTCGGTTCAGCTCGGCTGAGCTCAGCTCAGCTCGGCTCATCAGCTTGCCGACAGCTCATCAGGAAGCGGGCAAGACCCGCTGGCCAGCTCCACTCATCCCTGCAGGAGATCAACCACCGCCGACGCGGGGGAGGTCTCTGCCGCCGCCTAGCGAGACTCGCTGTTTAGCGACGGGGCTACGCGGTGTGAGCTGGTGCTATCAAAAGTAGCATCACAACAAATGCGTATCGTCAGCGCCCGATAGCGCAGCCGGTGGTCACCACTCTATGGATCGATGAATGAGCACCCGGGAGTACTGTGTGGCCGATTTCAAAAATAATAATCCATAATAGAAGGTTAAGATTTTTTGTTTAGAATAGCTTGCATGCCTGTTTTAACGACTCTCTCTCACTAACACCAATCGCGTTATGCGGGAGGGGGGGGGGGAGGGGAGGGGGGGGAATCAAAGTGGAACCACCCAGTCGTTGATGATACTGTATTGATACAGTGTTAAAAGTTCCGAGATTGAGAGTTACATACTATATTAGAGTTAAGGTTTAATTAGGAAATAAATTGATTAATGCAGAAGTTGTGGCGTGATTTTTTCCTATGATTTATGCATAAGAACTGGTTCTGCGATGAGATATGAACTTGGGGACCTTACACAAACAATCTAACTGGGATATGAACTTGGGGACCTGACACAAACACTCTGAAATATGAACTTGGGGACCTTACATTAAAACACTCTAATTGAGATCTGAACTTGGGGACCTTACATAAATACTAATACATAATAAATGTCAAAGTGAGAATAATTGTATTATACTGATCGATAATACGAAGTTAGACAACGAAGCCGAGTTGACGCTAGCATAACTGCATACGATTAATTGCATTATTCCGATTGATAACCCCACCTCGTCAACGAGGCGGGGCCTGATTATCATAAAGGCTGTCATTAACACAACCACTCGTATAAATTAATACGATTATCCCTCGATTTAGCATAATTTATATGCATAATTACACAAATTAACATAATTTCGGAAAAATTATGCAAATATTATATTTCATTTAATTTTCATTATTTTCATCAAAATTTCATAACCCACATATACAACAAGCCTCCCATTGTAGCTGTAGCAGATAGAAGGCTTCAGGAAGTACGTGGTAGAAATAGATGTAAATTAATGTGTGAGCCAGAGGACATCCCTGTCGCACCCGAAGGTGTAGAGGGAATGGCTCCAACTCCCGGTCATGCAGTTTTACCCGGGCGGCAAAGAATACGAAATCCTGCAGTAACGAAAGCTGTAAGTAAAGATAAGTAATGTAATAATAGGAAGGTGATATTTTTAAAAAAATGGTGTATTTGAACTTGAGTTCACACAATAACAAAGAAGATATTTGAACGTGAGTTGACACAAGAATGAAGATGAAAGCAATGGGCAAGTTATAAGCAAAAAAATATCAGGTGTACGATTTGTATGGTGTGTATGGCATTGTGACAAATGCACAATTTATGAAAATGTTGTAGCTACGTGACGTAACAGGTGAGCTGCCAGAGCATTGAAAATCACCCCCTGCCCCGCAACCCTCCGCATTCCCCCTGCCACCCCTCCCCCACTACCCCCAACATTGCTTCCCTACACCTCATTCATAAATACAGTTACACATCATCGGAATCACCACGCTTATCAGAATCTTGGAGCCGCGTTCACCCTTGGCTTTGTGTGGGGTTCACAGAGAGAGCTCCCCGCTCATTGTCGTCTCAGTCAGGCTCCGAGTCGGTGCCGGTGATCAGTGCTGTTAAGGTGAAATGCACCTGTCTGCTGTGCGAGTTGCGCGTGGGGCAGCTCCGTCTGTTGCAGCGCCAGCGTCGCCTCTCCGCTTAAATCTACAAACGCAGGCCTCCTCTGGGAGTCCATTTGCTCCTCAGCTCCTGCTTCCCCTCCTTACTGAAGTCATTGCCACCCACCCTGCAGCACAGAGAGAGGTTCACGCTGACGCGGGTTCACACGGAGACATGTCTCTGACCGAATTCGCGAGCATAAATCAGACCAGTGAATTAAAACATGTACACCTGGCCCTCAAAAGGAAAGGTTACTCTGACCGTATCATCCGCCAAGCTGTTTCTCCCTCCATACAGAAACAACCACTTGATACTCCGGTCAAAACCATCACACTACCATATATAGCAGGCGTTACTAAAAAGATTTCCAAAATTCTAAACAAACACAAGATCCAGGTCCGGTTCAATACAGTACACAAAATTCGTGATCTGATCCCATCCGTGAAGGATGTCATTCCTAACTTACAGTACCCCGGGGTTTATAAATTGAGTTGTATCTGCGGTGATTGCTATATCGGGGAGACAAAGCGACATGTCTCTGACCGAATTCGCGAGCACAAATCAGATTTGAAACACGGCAAAACGAATTCTTCTGCCATGGCTGATCACTGTTACAACGCTGTGGGTGATCACGATATAATTTTCTCCGATACCAAGGATCTTTGCAAACCCACGGGTTTTTATCAGAGATTTGTTCACGAGTCAATTCAGATCTACAAACACAGATACAATTTCAACCGAGAAGATTGTTTCAAATTAAGCAACCATTGGAAAGATGTTCTAAATCGAACTAAACATTAAACTAATTTCAATGGTACAGTATATTTTTCAAGTAGTGGTACCCCAAACTTTCGCAGCTATTATAAATTCCCTTTTCACACCATCAATAGGTAAACTCCCCCTCCCCCCCCATGCCAAACGGCAAGTCCACCGGCACGTACACCACCTCTTTTCTAAAATCGGCCAATCAAATGCTAATTTTTATGCTAATTTCTTTGTCAGGACACCTTGTTTGCTCGCACACAGCTTAAAGGTCCGCGGTCTGAGCGTGGTTGTGTTTCGCTAAATTCTCCTGTTTGATTTGTACTAGGTGCCTCGGTGAATGTATATGCTCTGACTTTAACATAGCTATTTCTGTGACCAGTTACAAGCTAATCACTCAGCTATTTCAATGCTAAATTCTATGCTAATTCCTTTGTCATGGGGTGCCTCTGCGGATGTGTATACTTTAACCCATTTCTGTGACCAGTCACAAGCTAATCACTCAGCCATTTCAATGCTAAATTATATGCTAATTATTTTGTCAAGGCGCTTTGTTTCTTCTCACACAGCTTAAAGGTCGTGATCTGAGTGTGGCTTTTTTCACTCCAGCGCTGTCCTCCAGACAGTCTCGTCCCTTCACCTGATGAAGGCCGCTTGTGTTGTGGCCGAAACGTCGTGATTTTTGTTATTTTATTTTTTACCTACGTGACTTTACCCAATAGAATCAAAGAGTATGGATCCTTGCAGTCACGAAAGCTTTAAATCTAGAACTATCCAGGCTCTATCATGCTTATCTTGCAGATTTAACATCATGCACATTCCCAGTCGTTTGGTCATGCTCCTTGGTCTAATAATGAATATTAAATGCACTGGAATACACTCCACTACTAACCCCACTTCTGGCAATGGCTCATGTTCATAGCACACAAATGTGCTGTCAAGGTCCATTGCTCAAAACGTTGCCTTTTCCATGTTTTATTCTGCTAAGGCCACTGCTACTGACGAATCTAAGTTGTTTTGTCTGTAGCAGCAGAGAGCATGTGAGACACGAGTAGCAGAGCTTACATGAGTGTCCTCAATGCTTTGTTGGTGATCATGATGTCATGAAGAGCTGGGATCGATTTGTCCGTTAGTGAGCACCGCTGCAGACTACAGGAAGAGAAGAGGCACTTAGTGAGGTGACATTGGAAAATAAATAGTGTACACACTCACAAGAAATGGAGAGCAACTCAACATCCTTCAATAGAATGACAATGGGTGAAAATCTCGTAGAATCAGTTAAACAAAGAGAGAGGGAGTGATCATTGTGGACCCAGGAAAGCAACCCTAATTGTCTATTATTTGTTTAAATCGGCCTTGTCCAACATGGCAGTTTCCAGGAATGTAACCCATCGCATTTGGTAAGGTCCGCCTGCGCAATATTTTGTACTAGCTTTACTACAAGGCTTTGCCCGGGACTTGGATTCACGACGCCCGGCCGCCTTAATCTCCCCAGTTGCGATGTTCACACACCTCACCAGTTACTCGTTTGAGGCTGAGTCGACCTAGGGGAGGCCCAGGACCGGTTAAAATAATCGTCAGCGGTGTTGGCCGTGAGCGGGAATCGAACTTGGGTAGCCGGGTTCGTAGCACAGCGCGCGAAGCACTACGCATGCGCGGGTGACATAACAGATGTGACATCATAGCTCACTTGCTGTGCAAAATATGTGCAAAAAATATGCATTATTGCGCCCCCCCTCCAAAAAAAAAGTACCAAGGTCTATTTTTAGAATTTTTGCATGGTGTACAGTCTGTAAAGTATCCTCATGGCAAATTTGAAGTTTGTTGCATATCGGGAACTACGCTAAACATTTTGAACAGACACACATAATCATAAATTTCCCTATTATATATAGATTAAACATCGCGTTTGTCCATGAAAGGACACTGTAGATACAGGCAGAGTAGCCAGAATCTAAATCTGAATATTTATTTATATTGGAGAATCGGAAAAGCTATAAAGCTCTTTTTCACAGATGTCCACGCTACCCATCACGAGGCCAAGGCTGGTTTAAATTGTATATTGGGTAAGGATAAAAAATAATTTTTATTTAAAGCTTTTGTGACTGCAGGGATTCATATTCTAGGTTTTTTCGTGACTTTATCGAAAGAACCAAGGATAAAAATAATGTTAAAATGTATAGAGTTGGCGTATAAGAGCCATTGGAGACTTTATGGCTTTAATAAGGGACAGGTTCATCTTCTTTGGTTATTTCGACTGTCGTCCCGACAGTTCTGTTCTTTCACCTGATGAAGGCTGCTTGTGTTGTGGTCGAAGTGTCATGAGAATTTTATTATTTTATTTTATTATTTTATTCTCATTCTACGTGACTTTACCGAAAGAACCAAAGAAGATTAATCCTTGTAGTCACGAAAGCTTTAAATCGAAAAGGGTCAGGTTGTGGTGTTATTAATGTAATTATATGGGTGGGCAATTGATATCAAGATCGCTGCCGTTCGTTATGTTAAATTCTTAATTTTTATTGATGACGTTAAATATAAATTATCGATTATCCCGAGTGTGCTTATCTGGCTTCCAACATGCGGTAAAACCGCTGCAAATGCTGTACCAGTCCGGAGATCGGCACCATGTATGACAAAATGAGTAGTTGTGCTTTATTTCAGTGTCAAATAATATATACAGTACATTATACACTACATACAATTAAACAATGCAAATACTGCACGTATTTACATTTTCATGACTAATAACTATACTAACAGAAACAGTAAATATACAGTGCCATCAGGCGAAAATTGCGTGCAGTTTGGCGTTCGCCAGAGCACCGGTCTGAAGGCTGCATCAGTCCGGCGATTGTCAAACACAAACACAAGTTGTTGTTGTTGTCAAACACAAGTTGTTGTTGTCAAACACAAGTAGTTGTTGTCAAACACAAGTAGTTGTTGTCAAACACAAGTCGATGTCAAACACGAGTTGTTGTCAAACACAAGTTGTTGTCAAACACAAGTCGATGTCAAACACAAGTTGTTGTCAAACACAAGTTGTTGTCAAACACAAGTTGTTGTTGTCAAACACAGGGTGGTGTCGTCAAACACAGGTTGTTGTCGTCAAACACAAGTTGTTGTTGTCAAACACAAGTTGTTGTTGTCAAACACAAGTTGTTGTTGTCAAGCACAAGTTGTTGTTGTTGTCAAACACAAGTTGTTGTCAAACTCAAGTTGTTGTCAAGGACAAGTCGATGTCAAACACAAGTTGTTGTTGTTGTCAAACACAAGTCGATGTCAAACACAAGTCGATGTCAAACACAAGTTGTTGTTGTCAAACACAAGTCGATGTCAAACACAAGTCGATGTCAAACACAAGTTGTCAAACACAAGTCAATGTCAAACACAAGTTGTTGTTCTCAAACACAAGTTGTTGTCAAACACAAGTTGTTGTCAAACACAAGTTGTTAAACAAGAGCGTAGTACGCACATCACCCCATGCAGAGTCTTCGATATTGAAGTGCTGAGTGCCGTACAGTAAATAGTCACTTTTTACAGCAGGATATTAATTTTGTCTTTGTATATTTAAATTTCGATTTAAAGCTTTCGTGACTGCAATGATTCATCTTCTTCGGTTCTTTCGGTAAAGTCACGTAGAATGAGAATAAAATAATAAATTGATAAAATAAAATAACACAATAATAGTCTCACGACGTTTCGGCCACAACACAAGCGGCCTTCATCAGGTGAAGGGAGCGAGACTGTCTGGTAGGACAGCGCTGGAGTGAGAGAGCCACGTTCAGATCACGGCTTTTAAGCTGTGTGAGAGGAACAAAGAGCCTTGACGAAGGAATTAGCATAAAATTTAGCATTGAAAAGGCTGAATGATTAGCTTGTGACTGGTCACAGAAATAGCTATGTTAAAAGTTAAAGCATACACATCCGCAGAGGCACCCATTGTTAAAAGGAATTAGCATAGAATTTAGCATTGAAATAGCTAAATTAAGGCATTCGCTTGTAACTGCTACAGAAATAGTTACGTTGAAGTCAGAGCATACACATTCACCGAGGCACTTAGTACAAATCAAAACAGGAGAATTTAGCATTGAAATAACTAGGCGAATTTAGCATTGAAATAACTGGGTGATTTGCTAGTGACTGGTCACAGAAATGCCTACACATCTGAGCTATTCACAGTACTATATAGTGAACCAATAAAAACTAAAATATAAATTACCTTCATGTTATCAATAAACTCTATATTCTCCAATCAGCTAAGCTACCAACCATAAGTCGTTATATATCACAATGCTATATGGCGAAAAAATGGGTGGATTCTTACCCTCAAATTTCCGTACCACGGATAGCTACGGGCCCCGTTCAGACGGACGAGTTCGTCCATGGTCGGAACAGAGGAGGGGGAGAGAGACAGCTGCGAAGCCCTAGTATACTCCATGTTGTAAACCATACCATTAACCGTGGTGTGAGAGGTATTAAGAGGCAATGCTGGCGAAAGAGCTGCGGTCTGAAGGTCATCGTAAAATTACAATTAATTAAGAACAGAAATGATTTAACACATCTTTCCAGTGGTTACTAAGCCTGAATCCATCTTCTCGGTTGAAATTATCTCTGTGCTTGTATATGTGAATGGCCTCATGAACGAATCTCTCATGGTAGCCAGTTGGTTTGCAAAGAACCTCCGTCTTGGAGAAGTCAATGTCATGTGAGCCCACTGAATTGTAACAGTGATCTGCCACGGCAGAGGAGTTCGTCTTACCGTGTTTCAAGTCTGCTTTATGTTCGCGGATGCGGTCCGAGATATGTCTTTTGGTTTCTCCAATGTAGCTACTACCACAGAGGCACTTTAGTTTGTAAACGCCCTGGTACTGTATGTCTGGAAGAGCATCTTTTACAGATGGAACTAAATCACGGATTTTGTGTACTGTGTTGAATCGGACCTGGATCTTGTGTTTATTCAGGATTTTGGAGATCTTTTTAGTGACCCCTGCAATGTAGGGTAAGGTGATGGTTTTGAGTGGCTCCACAAGAGGATCCTTCTTCATGACTGGAGTGATGGCTTTGCGGATTGTGTAGTCGGAGTAGCCATTAGCCCTGAGAGCCTGGTGTACGTGCTTGAGTTCACTGGTAATGTGTTCCTGGTCGGAAATGCATTGGGCTCTATGGTATAGAGTCTTGATGAGGCAGTTCTTCTGGGATGGATGGTGGTGGGAATCCGGTTTCAAGTAAGCATCTGTATGGGTAGCTTTCCTGTAGACAGAGTGGCTCATTGAACCATCATGTCTCCTTTTAATTAAGACATCCAGAAAGGGTAGTTTGCCATCTTTTTCGACCTCCATGGTAAATCTGATGGCTGGGTGTATGGAATTGATGTGGTCGCGGAATTGGTCTAGAGCAGGATGGCCATGTGGCCAGATGACAAAGGTGTCATCAACGTACCTCTTCCATAAGGTCGGGCGTAGAGTGGCAGTCTGGATGGCGTCAGTTTCAATTTTTTCCATGAATACGTTGGCTACAACCGGAGATAGGGGGGAGCCCATTGGGGTGCCCTCAGTTTGTTTGTAGAAAGTTCCATTCCAGGTGAAGTATGTGTTGGTTAAGCAATGTCTCACCAGGGGGGGTACATCAGTATGCAGTCCTTGATGAACCAGGTCTTCAATGATAGCGATGGTGTCAGGTACCGGGACTTTGGTGAACAAGGACACCACATCAAAACTGACAAGCAGGTCGTTTGGGGACAGGGAAATGTCTTTGATTGTCGATACCAGGTGAGTAGAATTTAGTACCGCAGAGGTGGTTTTTCCAGTGAAAGGTCGCAGTATATCAGCCAGAAAACGTGCCAGTTTGTAGGTGGGGGAGCTGATAGTAGAGACGATGGGACGAAGGGGTGTATCTTCTTTGTGTATCTTTGGAAGGCCATATAATCTTGGTGGTCTGGCAGCAGAGGGTTTCAACAAGAACTGTTTGTTCTCATCAATTAATGCTGTTGAATCAGAGATAATTTTGTTCGTTTTGGTGACCAGGCTGTTGGTGGGATCTCTTTTTATTTTTGTATAGCTGCCATCGTTGAGTAGTTCTTGAATTTTGTTGTTATATTCTGTTTTGTCCATGATGACAGTGGCATTGCCTTTGTCGGCTGAGAGAACGAAAATATCATCCCTCTTTTTTAATTGAGATAATTCAAAACGTTCGTCTTTGCTGATGTTGCTAGGTGGCAACTTAGCGTTTTTGAGGGTTGCAGCGATTTCAGATCTTGCTACGTCTGCAGAGATGTGACTCAAGCCCTTGAGTGCAACGTCGACATGGTACTAAATTCTACTCACCTGGTATCGACAATCAAAGACATTTCCCTGTCCCCAAACGACCTGCTTGTCAGTTTTGATGTGGTGTCCTTGTTCACCAAAGTCCCGGTACCTGACACCATCGCTATCATTGAAGACCTGGTTCATCAAGGACTGCATACTGATGTACCCCCCCTGGTGAGACATTGCTTAACCAACACATACTTCACCTGGAATGGAACTTTCTACAAACAAACTGAGGGCACCCCAATGGGCTCCCCCCTATCTCCGGTTGTAGCCAACGTATTCATGGAAAAATTTGAAACTGACGCCATCCAGACTGCCACTCTACGCCCGACCTTATGGAAGAGGTACGTTGATGACACCTTTGTCATCTGGCCACATGGCCATCCTGCTCTAGACCAATTCCGCGACCACATCAATTCCATACACCCAGCCATCAGATTTACCATGGAGGTCGAAAAAGATGGCAAACTACCCTTTCTGGATGTCTTAATTAAAAGGAGACATGATGGTTCAATGAGCCACTCTGTCTACAGGAAAGCTACCCATACAGATGCTTACTTGAAACCGGATTCCCACCACCATCCATCCCAGAAGAACTGCCTCATCAAGACTCTATACCATAGAGCCCAATGCATTTCCGACCAGGAACACATTACCAGTGAACTCAAGCACGTACACCAGGCTCTCAGGGCTAATGGCTACTCCGACTACACAATCCGCAAAGCCATCACTCCAGTCATGAAGAAGGATCCTCTTGTGGAGCCACTCAAAACCATCACCTTACCCTACATTGCAGGGGTCACTAAAAAGATCTCCAAAATCCTGAATAAACACAAGATCCAGGTCTGATTCAACACAGTACACAAAATCCGTGATTTAGTTCCATCTGTAAAAGATGCTCTTCCAGACATACAGTACCAGGGCGTTTACAAACTAAAGTGCCTCTGTGGTAGTAGCTACATTGGAGAAACCAAAAGACATATCTCGGACCGCATCCGCGAACATAAAGCAGACTTGAAACACGGTAAGACGAACTCCTCTGCCGTGGCAGATCACTGTTACAATTCAGTGGGCTCACATGACATTGACTTCTCCAAGACGGAGGTTCTTTGCAAACCAACTGGCTACCATGAGAGATTCGTTCATGAGGCCATTCACATATACAAGCACAGAGACAATTTCAACCGAGAAGATGGATTCAGGCTTAGTAACCACTGGAAAGATGTGTTAAATCATTTCTGTTCTTAATTAATTGTAATTTTACGATGACCTTCAGACCGCAGCTCTTTCGCCAGCATTGCCTCTTAATACCTCTCACACCACGGTTAATGGTATGGTTTACAACATAGAGTATACTAGGGCTTCGCAGCTGTCTCTCTCCCCCTCCTCTGTTCCGACCATGGACGAACTCGTCCGTCTGAACGGGGCCCGTAGCTATCCGTGGTACGGAAATTTGAGGGTAAGAATCCACCCATTTTTTCGCCATATAGCATTGTGATATATAACGACTTATGGTTGGTAGCTTAGCTGATTGGAGAATATAGAGTTTATTGATAACATGAAGGTAATTTATATTTTAGTTTTTATTGGTTCACTATATAGTACTGTGAATAGCTCAGATGTGTAGGCATTTCTGTGACCAGTCACTAGCAAATCACCCAGTTATTTCAATGCTAAATTCGCCTAGTTATTTCAATGCTAAATTCTCCTGTTTTGATTTGTACTAAGTGCCTCGGTGAATGTGTATGCTCTGACTTCAACGTAACTATTTCTGTAGCAGTTACAAGCGAATGCCTTAATTTAGCTATTTCAATGCTAAATTCTATGCTAATTCCTTTTAACAATGGGTGCCTCTGCGGATGTGTATGCTTTAACTTTTAACATAGCTATTTCTGTGACCAGTCACAAGCTAATCATTCAGCCTTTTCAATGCTAAATTTTATGCTAATTCCTTCGTCAAGGCTCTTTGTTCCTCTCACACAGCTTAAAAGCCGTGATCTGAACGTGGCTCTCTCACTCCAGCGCTGTCCTACCAGACAGTCTCGCTCCCTTCACCTGATGAAGGCCGCTTGTGTTGTGGCCGAAACGTCGTGAGAATATTATTGTGTTATTTTATTTTATCAATTTATTATTTTGTATATTTAGTTAAGCGATTTTCATATCACAAACTATTTAAAACACTAAATATATATACAGAACACGTTAAAACATAATCTTATTCAAGAATTTGCAAAAATGAGCTATTTTAAATAATGATCCGATTATCTGGTGTTTTTGAAAATCCAGCACCCCCTTTCCCTCCGAAGCCGCTGGATAATTTAATCGATGATCTACTGTATTAACATAATATAGTTTAAAACAATATCATTGGTTAGAGTAGGTAATGTGACAATTGTATTGTTATTTAATAGTGGTTAAAAGCGCTGTAATAAGTGTGGCTAATAACTTAATTGATGAGTGCATAAAAAAAGAAAGTTATTATCGACATTAAATACAACATTATCATGCTATACTGTGTATCTTTGTGTTTTGTGTCTGTATATGTGTATATATATTTGTTTAGGTGTACTTATATAAGTGTGTGCATCAGGACATTACTCACTGTAACCATTTCAAACTCCCTTCTCTCCCCAACATCACGTCCGCTAAAAGTCGGAGGCCGCTGTCTCCGATCACGTTGAGACTCAGCCTAAACCCGGGTGGACGGGAGAAGGGACAGCGCTGACTCACTGAGCCCACGGGAACCGCGGAGTCAAACACGCGGTGAGTTAAGGACACTCACAATGGCGGTGCACGTGACCAGAGCACACACGTTCCTATACAAAGAGGCTCATTTGTGTATGCTTCTGTGTTATACATTTTAAGTATAATAGGTGGCATTCACAAATATCAGTTTACTCACAATCATCCATTCAATTATACTGCAATATATATTTATAATATGAAAAGTGTTTGCATTTATATAAACAAAAGTTGCACCATCGAGGAAGACAGGGAGATACTTACAATTAATGTATCTGCTAACAATATGTTGTGAATATGAATATTTTGATTTAAAGCTTTCGTGACTGCAGTAATTCATATTCTTAGTTCTTTCGGTAAAGTCACGTTGAAGGGAAACAAAATAAGAAAATATATATCAAATAATAAAAATTCTCACGACGTTTCGACCATAACACAAACGGTCGTCTTCAGGTGTGTTATGGTCGAAACGTCGTGAGAATTTTTATTGTTTTATATATATTTTATTATTTTGTTGTTTCCCTTCAACGTGACTTTACCGAAAGAACTAAGAATATGAATATTGCTTAAGCCTACGTGTTAAATTTAACAAATGTGTTGAGGTTACAGTAAACCATTTTGAAAGTGGACTCGATTAAGCAGGCATTTTGGTGAAACCAGCCTCCAGTAAATGTTTACATATAAGAATGGTATGGTTATTAAGTGTAGGAAATGTGAGATGCCTCTAGATTTTTCTTCCCTGCCCTCTCCTGCCCACAAAGTTTGACTGTAACCCATTAAATGTTTACTTCACGACGCGTTGCACCAACAATTAGCACAGTTGGTGCACAGAGCACAAGCGAGAAACGAACAGCAGAGCTTACCTGAGAAACTTCAAACCTGTGTTGGCCTTGAGGATGACACTGAGAGAGGAACCCGACTTGTCCGTCAGTGAGCATTGACGCAGGCTGCAGGGAGAGAAGAGACTGTTATTGGAGGCAGAGGGGATGGGTGGAGGGTCTAGGCACAGAGTGGGGGATGGTGAGGGGTGGTGAGGGGTGGTGGTGGTTGATGGGACAGTGGTTGAGGGTCGTGTTTGTGGAGATTGTGCAGAAATGAACCTCATGTCAACTTTAATTGGAGCTTGCAAATAGCAACTGCTGTTTAGGTTTTTGGGTTTAATGTGATGTGTGTGAATGTCTACTATGTGTGCATTTGCGTTTGTCCATCTCTATGCGTGTTTGGTACATGTGTATCTTAGTGTATGCATATTTGTGTGCATGCGCGTGGGAAGTAGTGGTGCAGTGGTTAGCACAGTGAGCCACAAACCTGGTTCGATTGCCGCTCACGGCTAACTTCATTGATGAATATCTAAAAAGGCCGTGGACCTCACCTAGGTCGACTCAGCCTTAATTACTACCTGGTGCAGTAAGTAAACATCAGTTGGCTGAGTGTGGTGCTGGCCTCCCAACCCCTCATGTGCCGTACTGGTCTTCATTAGGTGTTCCCTAACAGTATATGACCAAAACTCTGCTAAAGGCTCTCTGTAGAATCTCTGTGTATGTATATATAGATCAAATAATCATGATTTATTTTCGATATTGCATCTTCCTAAAAGCGGTCACAGCTAAAAGCGTTAAATTTAACATCTCATCACCATGTAATTGAAAGGACACCCCCAGTGACAACTGTCTGAGCACAAGGGAATTCAGCACCTGGTCTGCATATCGGCATTTCCACTACAATCCTTCCAATATCCTCTCAATTTCCTCAGAACATCCTCCCATTTCCGTATCAAATACAACTTAAACAATGAAAATACTGCACGTAGATATTTTTTTCATGACGAATAACTACAGTTATAGTAAATATGCAGTGCGATCCTCCGTTCGCCAGAGCACCGGTCTGAAGTCTGCATCAGTGCGACGATTGTCAAACACAAGTTGTTGTCAAACACTAGTTGTTGTCGAACTCAAGTTGTTGTTGTCAAACACAAGTTGTTGTCAAACGCTAGTTGTTGTCAAACGCAAGTTGTTGTTGTCAAACACAAGTTGTTGTTGTCAAACACAGGTTGTTGTTGTCAAACACAAGCTGTTGTCAAACAAGTTGTTGTTGTCAAACACAAGTTGTTGTTGTCAAACACAAGTCGTTGTCAAACACAAGTTGTTGTCAAACACAAGTTGATGTTGTCAAACACAAGTTGTTGTTGTCAAACACAAGTCGTTGTCAAACACAAGTTGTTGAACAAGATCCTAGTACGCACATCACCCCATGCAGAGTCTTTGATATTGGAGTGGTGAATGCGGTACAGTAAATAGTCACTTTTTACAGCAGGATATTTATTTTGTCTTTGCATATTTATTTAAGCGATTTTCACATCGCAAACGATTTGAAACACTAAATATATACAGAACACCTATAAACATAATCTTATTCAAGACTTTGCAAAAACAAGTTATATTAAATAATGATGCGATTATCTGGTGTTTTTGAAAATCTAGCACCCCCTTCCCTCCGAAGCCGCTGGACATAATCGATGATCTACTGTATTAACATAATATAGTTCGAAACAATATCATTGGTTAGAGTAGGTAATGTGACAATTGTAATTCTATTATTTAATAGTGGTTCAAAGTGCTGTAATAAGTGTGGTTAATAACTTAACTGAAGAGTGCATAAAAAAATAAAGTTATAATCGACGTTAAAATACATTATCATGCTATACTGAGTATCTTTGTGTTTTGTGTCCACATGTGTGTGTATATATTTGTTTAGGTGTACTTATATAAGTGTGTGTGCATCAGGACATTACTCACTCTAACCACTTCAAACTCCCTTCTCTCACCAACATCACGTCCGCTATAAGCTGGAGGCCGCTGTCTCCGATCTTGTTGTGACCCAGCCTACACCCAGGTGGACGAGAGAAGGGACAGCGCTGACTCACTGAGCCCACGGGAACCGCGGAGTCAAACACGCGGTGAGGGACACTCACAATGGCGGTGCACGTGACCAGAGCGCACACGTTCATGAGCAAAGCTGCTCATTGTTTCAAGCTTCTGTGTTATACATTTTATATATATAACAGGTGACATTCACAAATATCAGTTTACTCACAATCATCCATTCAATTATACTGCACTGTACCTTTATAATCTGAAACGTGTTTGTGTTTAAAAAGGTGTTGTTTTGCCAGACCTCGTCAACACGCACACAGTAACTCAAGTAAAAAAAACTCGTGAAATAAACACAAAATGCAAACCAGCAATAGAAGCATGGGAACATATATAGTTCTAAGCATAGACAACAAGCAATAACATAATGCTACAAAACGAAAATAATTACGTTATGGAATATATTTTTTTTCACCTTAATCCTCGTGAAGCTCGGGCTCGGTGAAGGCGGCGTTTTGTTTGAGGCGGGGCTTAAGCCTCGCTCCGCAGTAGACATCGTCGACCTCAACGTGCTGCACTAGTTGCACTTATGTAACTAATGCAAACATTTCCACACGTTGAGTTTTTTCACATTATTTATGGGAGCATTTCCGTAAATTCGGATTTCCGTAAACCTGGGACTGCCTGCACGTACACGCGTATATTAACTAATTTGTTCATGGCGCACTCAGATCACTGGACGAATTGCGCCTTACGAATGTGAATCCTTATATGAAGATGGCTTGCATTTATTTTAATGTGAAAAATACTGTAACATTAAAACAACTGCAGACTCAAACATGGGTGTGTATAAGTGTGTGTGAGTGTGTAGTAATGTGCAAGTATTCGTGTATATGGATATTAGTGCATATGGATATGTGAGTGTGTATATTCATATATGAGAGTGTGTATATTAGTGTACACGTAAGATCTAATAAATCTGAAAATCTAAATAGGATCGACCCTGGATGGTGCTTCTACCCATGACTGACATGCATAACAACAGGTGTTGTAGCCTGCGGAGCTGCATTATGGCAATGGAACAACATTCATCTCGATGTTCTACACCAACCCACACTGACTTGAGTGGTGATGTCTGGTCAAATAACCCCCAAGACCTGCATTGTGTGGGAGTGCCTTATCCAGCAGTGGAGTGACCAAAGGCTGTACTTGTACATGTGTAGGAGTGTGTGAGTTTATATGTACACTACGTGTACGTTTGTGTGTGTACATGTCTGTGTGTGTATATATATGAGTTTCTTTCATTGTGCATTTTTATGCGTTTATGGGAATGTTGGGAAAGTCGTTTGCACATTCCATTATTAACTAAGTGACCTAGGTTTAATATCTGGTAACAGCATCAGTGGTGAGTGATAAACAATCTGGTCCTGGAACTCCCCTTGGGTGACTAAACCTTAAATGAGTACATGATATGGTGTGTGAACATCAGCAATGGGGAAAGTAAGGCAGCCAAGGGCGTTGCTGGTCAGGGAAGTGCGATCAGCAATTGCCTCAAAAGTGTATGCAGGCTCCACGGGGAGATTGTCTTTGTGCTTTGGAGTGCAGTGTAATAGTGTGTGTACTTGTTCTCTGTCACTGGCTTCACTTTCCCCAATAGTTTGAGAACCAGGGGCTTGAATTGGCTACGTGGATCAAACCGTTAACCTCACTCTCCACTGCAGAGCCGCTATCAGGGCTCCATTTTCTCAGTGTGGTCTACGGTAACCTCACTTCTTGCACCTAGTGTGAGGGCTATCATCATCGCTAATTAAATGTTGCTGAAGATGATGGAAAGCGTTGCAGCAGCCATGCATATGCATAACTTTTCTTCCTTTTGTACTTTAATGTACAGTGAGTGCAGCATTCAATGTGGACCCACCTACTCACTATACAGTTACTCACCCACTCACACTAATTCACTAATTCACCAACCCACTCACACACTAATTTACTCATTCACCAACCCACTCACACACCACTGACCCACCTACTCACTCACATCATCAACCAACTCAACATACTCACTCATCGATCCACTCACCAAGTCACCCACCAACTCAAGCAGGCACGCATTCACTCACCAAATATTATCCCTCAATGGCTGGGTAGGCGTGAGTATCGGGGGAGAAGAGTGAAGGGATGGGAAAGGGAGGGTTGGGTTATGGGAAAAGTGAAGGCAGGAGCAGATTGGGGGTTAAGGGGAGGGGAGAGCGTGGAGTGCGGGGAGAGGAGTGAAGTGAGAAGTGAGGAGTGAGGACAATGACAGCAGTGGCGAGGGGAAATATTTTGTCAAAAGTTGTGTTCATGCGTCGGCTATGCATGTCCGAGTGTTTACGCAAGTGTAGGGGTGCTATGGGGAATAAACACATGGCACGGGAAGGTGTGGTTCACCCACACCTTGGTGGCTACAACAACGTCCGCTAAGGCTCCAGTGGGTATAAAGTGCGGGGAGCCAGGGAGCTCGGGGCAGAGTGTGGGGCCCGAGGCTGAAGCAACCAGTGAAGAAAGAAGGCCAGCTAGGTGAGACCCTGGAACTCCTATGACCGCTGCCCTTTTCAGGGCCGGCACAGCAAGCCAGTGGTGCGGCCCCAGAGCCCCAGAGTCAGAGTCCTTCTAAGGGCCGGTCTGGTCGGCGGGGTGCCGAGATCTGTGCCTAACCAGGGCCAGATCTGATAGCCTCCCTTAGAGCCCTACCAGGAGGAACTGGGAGCCTAGAGCTTAGGCTAGAGAGCCTGGGGTGTGTTCCTGAGTTATACGGGTGGAGGGGCCGCTACCACTTCTAGTGTAACCCTTGTTAAGGTTTAAATAAATAGTGCTGCTTCTATTCTGCCGTCTCCGTGTCCTGGAACCCACTACAACTGGTGTCAGAAGTGGTCTTAAAATGGACACAAGGAGTACAAACCGATCACAGGAACCCCAGGAGGAGGACAGCTCGCCTGGGATTGCGCCAGAGGCCGCGGCCGACGATCCTGGGATGCCCCAGACACCCCAACAGCAGCCGCCGCTGGAGGAGTGGCCGCCGATGGAGGATGGGTTGCAGGCGGCTCACTCTCGACTGGCTGAGCTGCTGTATGCCGCGGCTTCCACGCTGGAGGAAATCAACCACACGGGGCTGCGGGCGCAAAGGCGGCAGAGAGACGAACGCCGTTCAACGGCCATTCCCGCCGAAACACAGCCACCAGATTTCGGATTTTCCGCCATGACAGTGTCCACCACGGCGATTGGAGGGTCGCAGCCCCCCGTGGACGCTGTGGGCCAATCAGCGGTGGTGACGTCATCACCAACGGACGCCCGCTGTCAGGACCAATCGGCGGGCGCTTCGTCATCACCTGCGCGACCGCCGATGGGTGTCCCCAGCCCCTCCAACACTGGCGGAGAGGCCGGAAATGGCGCGCGGCACCTCTCGGAGACGAAGCCATCGTTTCAACAACGCCTGCCGGTGTTGAAGGAGTTCGTTTCAGACGGCGGCGACTGGGGGGCCTTTCAACGCCGCTTTCTTGCTCATCAAGAGATGGCCGGCTGGACGGACAACGAGGCGTTGAGTGCGCTACCGGCCATGCTGGACGATGACGCCCTTGCTACGCTCATCACAGCTCCCAGATCAACGCAATCTATGCTACAGTCGGCGCTCCAGGTCCTCACCATAGTCTACGGGCCATCGTCGGACTGCCGCAAACTCTTCCACGAGCGGTGCAGGGGCCAGAAGGAGCCACCGCTGGCGTATCGCACGGCTCTCCTGGCCCTCGCAAAAGCGGCTTTCCCGCGGATGGACGGCGAAGGGGTGGACACGATGGTGACGGAGAAGCTCCTGGCGTTGGCCCAGGAGCTACAGATCGTCATCGTCGCAGAGGACGATGCGGACATGTGCTCCTTGCGGGCAGCAAGACACATCCACGCGCACCTGATAGCGCAGCGTCGATCACCTCTCGTCCCCAAGGGCGCAGCTATGGTGTGCGCTGGGACGCCGACCATCCCCCCCTCCGAGGAGGTCTTCGCGGCGGGTCGCCCGGTGGAGTGGAGATCCGGAGGGAGGCCGGCTCGGACAACACTGGATCGCCAGGAGCACCCCAAGGCGCTCATCACGTGCTACAACTGTGGCCGCAAGGGCCACGTGGCTGCGGAATGCCGGGCGCCTCGTCAACGACAGCCGGGACAGTCGGACGGCGCTCCAGCCTACAGGCCTCCGCATCGCAATCCGGCAAGTCGCGGCACCCCACATGCTCGGCCTGTGCACACACCTGTCCCCACCTCGCGCGTTTCGGTGTACGGGCCTCGGGGTACGCCCATTGGTTTGTTGGGTGGCGGCGGGGTCGAGAGGGTGCTCGGGCCGGGGCAGTGGACGGAATTGGCCCACCGCATTGTTGCTGCGTCGGCAGGCTCGTCCGTGGTAACGGGTCGCATTGACGGGGTCGAGGTGCGTATCCTCGTCGATACGGGAGCTTCGGCGACCATTGTGTCAGACTTGATTTATAATATTCTTCCCGTTCAAAGCCGCCCCTTGCTCCCAGTCACCGTTCCGTGTTACGCAGCGAACGGGGGTTCGCTGGGTATCATAGGCCAAATTCGAGCACAAATTTGCATTGGCGATATCAAACTCTCCGGGCCGATATTAGTCTCATCCTCGCTGGCGGTTCCGTGCTTGTTGGGGACGGACTTTTTGGGCAAAATGCCGATTAAAATTCTAATTGATCAGGGTTGCATCGAGCTTCCCTCGGGCCGACGGGTAACATTCCTGCCTTCCCCTGTCACCTCAAGGGCAGCGTGCGCGTCGATACAAGCGTTCGTCACTCGGACGGCGCGTGTACCTCCCGGGGCACAAATGCTCGTGCCCCTTCGCTTGCGTCGGCCTTTCGTGCCCGGTGTTCTGGACCAGGGAATTCTGTTAGGGCCCTCGAGGGCTGGGGAAAACGGGCTGGATCTGGTGGCCGCTCAAACGCTCGTTAAGGGAAGCGATGATCCGTTTATCCTCGTCCTTAACGTTGGCGTACAGACGGCCGTCGTTCCTCAGAAAACTGTGCTCGCGCACGCGACGCCGGTCCCCATGGTAGACACGGTTATGGGTAATGTGGGGACCGATCCTCTGGCTCAACCGCATTCTGAGGGGGACGATAGTTGGATGGACGCACTATGTTCGGGCACGAGTGACTCCCAGCGTGCCGGCCTACGCACCCTTCTGACGGAATTTTCCGATGTCTTTAGTAAACACAAATATGACATTGGGTGCACGAAATTGTTGCGTCACCACATTGACACGGGTGACAATGCCCCGGTACGCCAGAATCCTTTTCGGTTAAGTCCGGCCGAAAAAGATCATGTCAAATTGGCAGTGGATGACATGCTGGCTGCAGACATTATAGCCCCTTCCACCAGTCCATGGGGAGCACCCATAGTGCTTGTCAAAAAGCACGATGGGTCCTTGCGATTCTGTGTGGATTTTCGCCGCCTTAATAAGATCTCCGTGGCCGACGCGTATCCACTTCCCCGGATGGACGAATCTCTGGATGCTCTGGCTGGCTCACGTTTTTTTTCTACGTTGGACTTGTTATCCGGATTCTGGCAACTCCCATTGGATGATGAGTCCAAGCCAAAGACTGCGTTTCGCACACCACACGGCCTATTCCAATTTAACCGGTTACCTATGGGATTACACTCCGCTCCGGGGACATTTCAGCGCCTTATGGAACTGGTTTGGCTGGCATACAGTGGAACGTCTGTTTGATCTATCTGGATGACGTCATCGTGTTCAGCAAGACATTTGACGAACACCTTTTGCGCTTGCGCGCCGTGTTCCTCAAAATGTGTGCTGCGAATTTGAAATTTAAGCCGCAAAAGTGCCACCTGCTACGGGAATCCGTACGCTATTTGAGGCACATCGTCAGCCGCTCGGGCATATCCACCGATCCCGCAAAGACGCAGTGTGTCAGCTCCTGGCCAACCCCCACCTCGGTGGCTGAGGTCAGGAGTTTCATTGGATTTGCGTCTTATTACCGGCGGTTCATCGCGGATTTCGCGACCATTGCTAAGCCCTTACACGCTCTGACGGCGAAGGGAGTGAAATTTCACTGGGGCCAGGAGGAGGAGGTCGCTTTTTGTTCCCTTCGCGACGCTCTCGTGCGGGCCCCTCCATTGAGCTACCCCGATTTTTCGGAACCCTTCCTGCTCGATACAGATGCCAGCAATACGGGCATTGGGGGTGTGCTCTCACAGGTGATCTGTGGTGTGGAACGCGCCGTGGCTTATGGCAGTAGGGTTTTGTCTCCGGCGGAACAGAGATACTGCGTCACGCGTCGGGAACTCTTGGCTATTGTATTTTTTATGCAACAGTATCGCCCATACCTGTACGGTCGGCATTTCACTGTCCGTACAGACCATGCGGCATTACAATATGCCTTGCGGGTGACGCAGCCTTCGGGGCAATTGTCCCGATGGTTCGAAATCCTTCAGGATTATGATTTCACGACCACATATCGGAAGGGTGCTCGGCACACTAATGCGGATGCGCTGTCTCGCCTGCCGCCCGCCTCAGATTGCGCTTGTCTCAGAGGATCGGGACGTTGTAAGCCGCCAGAGGATAGCCCCCCCTTAGATATCCCGGTTCTCGCTGCTGCCACTGAGGACCCCTTGCCTGAGGGTCCTATCGGGGAGGGAGGTGCGGACTCTTTGCTGGGGTTGTCCGTTGCGGAATGGGGGCGCCTCCAGATGGAGGACGCATCCCTCCTCGCGTTGCGTCGTCGCGCAGGGGGTTCCGTGCGGGGGTCGCGGGGATTGATTCATACGGGCTGCTCCAGGGGCTCCTAATGCATTGGGATCGGAGGGCATGCCGTCACAGGCTTGTGGTGCCATCCGCTTTGTGGGGTAAGGCCGTTTGGGCCGCACACGAGCGGCTTTTGCACCTGGGGACCCACAAGACCCTTGCCGTGCTCCAGCTGGATTTCTTCTGGCCGGGTATGGCAAGGGATGTGGATGACCTCCTGGGTGCATGCACTCAGTGCGCCCAACGAAAACCACCAGCGAAAGGCGCCTGCCCACCGCTACAATCTATCACCGTCTCTCGGGTTAACGAACTCGTCGCACTCGATATATTGGGGCCCTTCCCTGCGACCCCTAGGGGTAACAAGTACCTGCTGGTTGGCGTGGAATATTTCACCCGATGGCCTATGGCATGGCCTCTCGCTAACCAGTCAGCAGCAGCCGTTGCCGAGGCCTTTGTCCAGGGCTATGTCCTCGACAAGGGTGCTCCCGAACGGCTGCTGACTGACCAAGGGAACAACTTCTCTGGCGTCCTTCTGCACGAGGTGTGTGCGCTTCTTGGTACGAAAAAGATTCGCACTTCCCCCTATCACCCACAAACCGATGGCATGGTGGAGCGGCTGCATAGGACGCTCACATCTATGTTGTGTCACCAGGTGTGTGACTCCCAGACCGATTGGGACCTTCACATTCCGGGGGTTTTGGCCGTCTATAGAATGGCTCCTCACGCGGCAACCGGCTTCTCGCCGTTCTTTTTGATGTATGGTCGCGACGTTGACCCACCAATTGCGACTCAGCTCCGCGTCTCGGAAACCAGCAGAAAATCGAAATTGGCCGACCACGTTAAATTTAATATCCTGAGGTTGACCGAGGCGCGGGAGGCAGCGGCCCAAAACTCTTCCTCTCAGCAGAAGGCCAACGAGAGGTTGCGATCGCGCCAATCACGCACACATGCGTGGAAGCCAGGCGATCAAGCCTGGCTGCACTGCCCTCAGGTGCCGTTGGCGACCTCGGCGAAATTGTTGCGGCCTTGGAGGGGCCCTGTAGTTATTGTGAAGGTTATGCGGCCGCAGTGCTTTCGTATCCAGTGGGGGAAACGCTGCTGGTACGTACACCCCTCGCGTCTGAAGCCGTTTGTGGCGCCGCGCGTCCCTCCACCACATTACACGGGCCGAGCATGTGATGTGTCCGCTGACTCCCGGACGGCGTCTTCGTCACCTGCCCTTGATGCTTCGCTAACTGTTCCACCTTCAGGCGCCTCAAGAATGACGGCTTCCAGCACGCCTGCGCCACCCGGTGGGGACAGAGTTTGCCCTTCCGGGGTGACGGAAGACGGTGCACCTGCACAGCCGGTGCCCACTGCCGGGCCGACCGGACCCTCCCCCTACGATGGACCCGCAAAACGGACTCGCGCCAAAACGCGCCGCTTGTTGTAATAATGGTTCTTGTTACTCTTGTTGTTCACTGTTAAGTTTTCTTGCTGCGTTGATGGGGGGGGGGGGGGGGGGGGGGGGTACAATGTATATGTGTATATAGTGTAATTTTGTATAGGTGGGTTGGGTTATTTATTGGGGTGTTCGTTCTTATGAGGCACGCACGGGTGGGGGTTTGTTGTGTTTATTGTTCGAGTATTGTTGCAGCCGGGACGGCTGCGGGTTACACGGGAGGGGGTGATGTAGGGGTGCTATGGGGAATAAACACATGGCACGGGAAGGTGTGGTTCACCCACACCTTGGTGGCTACAACAACGTCCGCTAAGGCTCCAGTGGGTATAAAGTGCGGGGAGCCAGGGAGCTCGGGGCAGAGTGTGGGGCCCGAGGCTGAAGCAACCAGTGAAGAAAGAAGGCCAGCTAGGTGAGACCCTGGAACTCCTGTGACCGCTGCCCTTTTCAGGGCCGGCACAGCAAGCCAGTGGTGTGGCCCCAGAGCCCCAGAGTCAGAGTCCTTCTAAGGGCCGGTCTGGTCGGCGGGGTGCCGAGATCTGTGCCTAACCAGGGCCAGATCTGATAGCCTCCCTTAGAGCCCTACCAGGAGGAACTGGGAGCCTAAAGCTTAGGCTAGAAAGCCTGGGGTGTGTTCCTGAGTTATACGGGTGGAGGGGCCGCTACCCCTTCTAGTGTAACCCTTGTTAAGGTTTAAATAAAGTGCTGCTTCTATTCTGCCGTCTCCGTGTCCTGGAACCCACTACACAAGCATGGGGCTACATTGCACTCTGTGCGTGCACAGTTACTAAGTGAGGATTCTTATATACAAAGATTCGCCGTATAGTCTTAACAGGCTGCTGGGGCAAGTGCTGTTATGGAGCACCTATGAAGGCCGGCATGACAAATGATGGGGTGGGTGACCAGAATCACGCCCGGGCGCCGTTGTCTCCTGAGTCGCGATGTTTTACACACTGCACCTGGTACTTATTTGAAGAGGAGTTGATATCACACCCACACATATGCACGCACAATTTGTGAAGTAGTGAATGCGAGGTGTGCAAGTCTTACCATAGCTCTTTACATCTGTGCAGTCCAGTCTGAAGCCTCTTCATTTCCTCGGTGCCGATGCCGCAGCCTAACAGGTTGAGTGTCTCCACAGGTTCTTCTCGCTGCAGCAGGATCCAGGAGATGGCAGCGCAGTCTGGCAGGGACAGCCTTGTGAGTGACAGGTCTATATCAGTCATGGACCGAGTGGCATCACTCAGGGACTTGCGGTCTTGCAGCTCGTGCACGCAGTGCAGGAGACTGATGAGCCTGTGTTTGTCAACCTTCTGAGTCTTCATGCTGCGATTGAGCCACTCGATTATTTCCTTTTGATAATCTGCAGATGGAGGATCCAAGATACCCTCAAATAACTTCCATGGAGTGCTTGATGCGAGTCCACAAAAAAACCTCTGAAACACATCAAACCTCCCATCTTTGCTGTCCTCAATAGCTTTGATGACGTCACTCACTGGCCGTGTTGAATGTGACAGATGCACAGCTATCGCTGCAAATAATTCTTGCATTGTCAAGTGTGAAAATGAATAACAACTCCCTTGTTGAATGCCCTCACATGTGAACACTTTGTTGATAAATGTACTTCCTAGTTCAGAAGAACTAACAAAACACTCTTCTAGATCTTTTTGGCTGAACATCTGGATGTTTTGCTGAACCCCCTTCAGAGCCATATTGGCAAGAGACGATACGATTTCCTTGGCTCCGCGGCTGCCACGTCCATGGTGTACTATGAGCCCAAACACGTATTGTGTGAAGAGGTCGGTCATTGATTTGAGGATAATCTCAGAATGATCAGACTTCTGTAAATGTTCCTTCAGTGTAATGGCTGCTATATGGCAGAATGAAGGGTTCTGGGACAATGTATTCACTGTTTCATTTTCCTGCAGGAGCTTGAGTGCCCTTTCTGCTAGACTCCTATCTTGGTAAAATTTGTTAAAGAATGCTATTTTATCTTTGTTGGAAAACCCAGTGATTTCAACAGCTCGATCAACATTCACTTCACTCATCTGCTCCATGGCAATGGGTCTGGTCGTTATAAAGACCGAGGCCTTGGGCAAGAGATTTCCATTCACTAGGGCAGCAATGATGGCTTCTACTGTTGCCGTCTTATGTGGATCAGTGCAAGCATTGGCATAGTGAAGGCGCTTTCCAAACTCGTCCAACCCATCCATAACTAAAATGGTTCTCTCTTGGTTTGTGAAAACCTCATCCGCTTTGTTTCCCAAACATGAGTGCAGCACAGAAAACAGCTCTGCGAGTGACACCTCTCCAACATCATTTATCTCCCTGAACCTTATGAGCACAATGTGCTCAAAGCATTGTGCAAACACTCTCTCACCTGACAGAAGGCTGTGCACAATGAAATTGCTCAACATGGTTTTACCGCTGCCTGGAGTCCCCACCACAATAACCAGTCGGGGGTGTTTTTTTTTTCCAACGGGATCAAAGAGATTATTGTAAGTCATCCCTTCTCTCTGTGCTCTCTTCATCAGCTCCTCGTGCTGCTTGCCTCTCGCTAGTAACTCGTGCTCCTTGGTTTCTTGATGGCGGTAGTAGGGAACCAGAATTGGCTTCACCATCCTCTCTGACAAAAACACTGCAGGTTCTCCAGGTCGTGCGTCGTAGTCTCGTGTTAATGATGTCAGCTTCAGCAAGAATTCTCTGTAATCCTCACCAGGGTTATCTAAATTAAACAGAAATGATTTAACAAAAATTTGTTTCATTTATACTAAAAACATTCCTATAGCAGAAAAATATGATTAAAATATACTATGTAATAAAAAAGCGTAGCGAATTTGTTCACTATGGATAATGCAGCAACATCATGGCATCACGAATTATTGCGTGGAAGTTTTCACGATGTGTATTCTACAATTGAATTTTTTATAAACACTGTACCTTTGTAAAATATATTTTTTATCATGACGGAAATGTTCCAACCAGTTGTCTTGTTTGTTTGGCCTGTAAAAAAGATAATACCACCACATTTAGCATTACGATGTACATCAGCATTATCAAAAACTAATTCCATCAATTTGGGTGTAAATTTCAATTCTGCATTGTCCTACAATCATTGATTTTTGTTTTTTAGGATGTTGAATTAACTTTTAATATTTCACTGGTATTAGGGCTGTGTTTCCTCTCCCATCTCAAGCTGGCCTATGTCACATAGCACGTGGGCTACACTGTGTTGGAGTGCAGTACACCAGGCACGGTCCTCTGCAGCCAGAGAAGATGCAGTGATTGCACACTGGCGGAGCCAGTTTGGGGGGTGTGGGTGGCACGTGCCTCCCCAATGATCCGATCGAAATCCTTAATTTCGATCGATAAATCGGCATTTTGCGACCGCCACTGCCACTGTGTAGCATATTACTACGTGCCAGAGACTCTATGAGATGATAGGACAATAGTCTGAGTCCATAATTGGCAATAAGTAACGGCAAAGCAGTTATAAGTGATTCACATAAGTGTGTGCAGTTGCGTATACAGTACACGACTTCCCTGAAGGCATTCACCTTCAGCGAGCGCGATGCCGATCACACACGGTTCGAATTCGACCCTCGATCGTTGGCTGCGCCATCGCCGCACAAGTCCTTAATAACAACGCCTATCATGTTTTATTGCTGGAGGAGTTGCCCCCCTAACTGAAAATCCTGGCTCCGCCATTGTGCTTGTACCTCCACAATAACAGCCACATGAATCACAGAACTCATAGCATCCCATGTGATGCATCGTAGGTTCACTTGAACTTCAACTAACCTGGCTACTGCATCATCAGCAAGCACTGTGGCATCCCCTAGATTGGGGAGAGTGGAGATTTCCCTAATGACAGATTTGCTCCACATCTTTCATCACAGCTTTTCAAGGTAACATCTAACTCAATGGCTCATAACTTTGATGGTGTTATTTTAATCTCTCTGTAATCTCTCCATAATATAATACTTGGAGTCATGAGTTAGAGTGGACTTTTCACAAACGATGAGGGCTTAAATATTGACATTTTCTTTGGAGGAAGTTATAACCAATCCAAGTCAGGGTGTAAGAGGAAAGTAGGTTCCGTTATATGAGTCAATGGCAATATAAGGCTGGGTGTCATTAGAAATAGCAGTGATAGTCGATAATAAAAACGTATTTTTTTCTCAAAACGAGGAGATTGTACTGAGAAGAAAAGATGGCACAGGACTGCGCCATGTGGAACACCACAGAATTAGGGCTTCTGAACAGAAGACAGTGCTTGCATGGAAAATTTTGAATCAACTCCAGGGGTTGAGGCAGAACCAGGAGATAAGTTTGTCAGATGGAGTGGTGTGTGGTGTCAAAATCAGCCCAAAGGTCAAGAACTAGAAGCAGCATCCATAGTTTAACAGAAGTGGTCATTCGCCCTGCATAGGGGAACAGTTTCAATGACATGGCCTTGGTGGAATCCAGATTGTACCAAGTCATGGAGACCATGGCAGCAGATGGGTTTGCTGCCATTGCCAAACATCTTGGGCTTGACACTTGAAAGAGAGCTTCATAGGTCATTACATTATTACAGCTTAAATACCATGTCTGTGTGTGAAGAGGAGGTAGAAAATCACCATGTTTACGTCTTTTCCAAGGAAAGGGAGGTGTGGGATATGACGAATTAATGAATGTTGGGGTCCAGTGTGGATGTAAGTTTTTGATATTTACACACATTTTCATTATCCATCTATCCTTTCCTCCCATTTGCTGATAAATTGTAGTTTCCCTGCTATGGAATGGAATATAAATGTCCTCGATTTAAAGCTTTCGTGACTGCAATGATTCATCGGTAAAGTCACGTAGAATGAGAATAAACTAATAAATTGATAAAATAAAATAACACAATAATATTCTCACGACGTTTCGGCCACAACACAAGCGGCCTTCATCAGGTGAAGGGACGAGACTGTCTGGTAGGACAGCGCTGGAGTGAAAGAGCCACGTTCAGATCACGACCTTTAGCTTAAAGGTCGTGATCTGAACCTTTAGCTTAAAGGTCGTGATCTGAACGTGGCTCTTTCACTCCAGTGCTGTCCTACCAGACAGTCTCGTCCCTTCACCTGATGAAGGCCGCTTGTGTTGTGGCCGAAACGTCGTGAGAATATTATTGTGTTATTTTATTTTATCAATTTATTAGTTTATTCTCATTCTACGTGACTTTACCGAAAGAACCAAAGAAGATAAATGTCCTCCTTCTGAGAGGAATGTTGTCATGCAAGGGTGGTGCAGTTTGCTAATATTAAATGACAATCTCAGTTCAAAGCAATTCCTTCACCTAAACTTGCCAGAGACATGCGAATGGATAGGTAAAGTTTAGCATAACTCACGAGAAGCTGCTCCAGGGATGGCTTTACCCGCAGTTCTGCTCAGATCGATACCCATCACGTTGAGCTGCTGCTCATGCTGTGATATCCACTGATCCAAGAGAGGGATCTCGGATCTCAGCGGCACCAGCACGGCTTCAAGGAATCTCATGCACACATGTTCTCCTTTGTCGAGCACCAGGTCAACCAGGTGCCGTGTTCGTACAATGGGGTCATTCTCGCTTTTAAGGGACGCATATTCACTGTCCAGGACTATCTTTGTTTGATAGGAATAGTCAAGCACTTCTGAAGACTTCGCCTGGAGGTATTTCTGCAGATTCACTTTGTTGGTTCTAATAATCTCATATGCAGGATCTTTTGATGCCATCACGACAAATGCAGTCACCTGAAGAAAATGAAAACAAACCACGTGTCACCTGTAAGCATAGTCGTGTAATTTTAGCCATGTACGGGAAAGAATAATAATTATTAAAATAAAATTCTGCTACTAAAATCTGAGAGGTCTCGGTTAGGTAAAATTGTGACTTTAGGTATCTGGTTGTGAATATATTGAGTTATTTAAATTGTAATGTAAGCTTAAAATTGGTATTAAAATTTATGGAAATATATTAAATAGCATCGAAACACCTGACGCATCTCAAAATACTCTTCAGTGCAAGCATATGAACATTCATTTGAACACATCACTACGTAAAAAAATGTAAACCTTATTCAAAACGCCACAGTTTTCGCAGATTAAGCAGCTGCTTGACACTACGCGCTCACTGCCTCGACCACCATGATACCACGCAGACGGCGAATTGCGCTGTAATGTGCAATGATCGGGATAGCGTCACCTCTAGTTGAGTGACGATTAGAGGGTGGGAGCCATGTTTGATCTTGGGTGGTCCCTGTGTAGTGGCCATTCCCATGCTCTCAGTGTATGGGTAGAGAGTGCTCTGAGGTTGTCTAGTAAACATAACCTTTTGTGGAGGTAGTGTGTTTGTGTGGGGAAGCCAAAACTTAAAGTACACACATGAGGCAGCGTCAGTGTTACTGTGATGTTCATTATGTTAAATAAATCACTTATCCAGGACAGGAGTGGTCCAGGTGTCTTTGCAGCCACCTTCCTAAGTCTTTGAATCTCCGCCTACACTGTCTCTTAACAGTCCTTCAAATGAGCGACACGTTACATCATCAGCAGCAGCCATTGTCTCTATACCGCTGGATGAACGCCTCCCTATATTTGTTTAACGTGAGAAATTAATGAAAATATATTCTTACTTTAACATTTTTTATTAGTATCAATAATAATGAAGCATCTCCATAACAGCATCTAGTCATTGAGGATGATACACGTGCATTTACGAAAGCACACAGAGCATGAGACTATAACGAGTTTTGTACATCATGTTTGTAAACCCAAGCTTCTGCTGCTGTCTGAAATCCTCTCCCTTCTGATATTTGGAAGCCACTGGGCAATACACTTTATTGAAAACTCACTTCTTTAGAAGTAATTTTTGCGTTTAGTTTGTTGTCCTTCCTCCTCACCTCACATACGATAACGTACTGTACGTGTAGTGAGTTCAACTGAGTCGCAGACATACACTTGGAGTCAACACATTTATTTAACTCCAACACACGGGGTAACTTCCCCTTAACAGAATAACAACCTATGGTGGTGACCACCAGGCTAACTACACTAATTACAACGTAACTAGCTCCTATGGACCGGGACCATAGCTCGTGTCCAGGGCCACGTGTTGGAGACTCGTTGAACATGAGAATGGAGACGAAGTTCTTTCAGGATGAACAACAGCGCCTGTCCCTCTGGGGATCCGGTTTATATTCTCTGCGGCGTGGTGGGCTCCACCCTTGGCCACGACAACCTTCCAGAATCCTCGAGAAGGATCTGGACCCCAACCATGTGGCCACTCCTAGTCCCCACTTGGGGCCCCTTTGTAGACTTAACTGGTCACGTGTTCTTTCGGGTCAACCAGAGTTCCATGGCCTTTAGTAACCTTATTCCTGCGACTGGCACTCCCACACCCTGTCCTGTAGGGCTGGCACTGCACAGTGACATCCTGCGGTGTCACTACATATGTATGATTTTATGAGTAGTCAAATAGTACGAGGAGATGATGCAATAGGGATAAGGGGGTGAAGGCGTGGGCTCAGTCGCTTTTTCTCTCATACAGCACACATCTCCACAGGAATTATGAAAAAAAATAACACCTGGCAAATGGACATACATTGATGTTCATGCCCAAGGCACAACAACTCTATTGGTTTAACTAGTGTGCAGCTCCATGCTACACACAGCAGACGCGCGCTCCCTACAGAGGATAAACTGTCGAGCGTCTTCTACGCCGACAGCACGAGCGTCAACACAAATATCCCCCATGCAGCTCCATAGACTGGTGGGTCAAGTGCTGTTAGCGAGCCCCTTTGAAGACCGGCACACAAAGTGGGGTAGAAATGGCCAGCACCACACCTGGCCACGTTTGTCTCATAGGTTCTGCTGATTACACTCAATGCAGACTCAACCTAGAGGACTGTTGTATATATTGGGTATGATAATTTAATGAAAATAAAAATTTAATTAAATAAAAAAGCGCAATTATCCGAAATTATGATAATTTATGTAATTATGCGCATAAATTATGCTAGTTATGGAGGTGTAATCGCATTAAGTAATGCAATTGTGATAATTGAGCCCTGCCTCGTTGTCGAGGGTAGTGTTATCAATCGGGATCGTACAATTAATCGTATGAAGTTATGCAGGTGTGCTGTAAGTAGGCTAGATTAAGCTCGGCTTCGTTGTCTAGGTTCATATTATCAATCGGTATAATACAATTATTCTCACTTTAACATTTACTGATTATGTCTTAGTGTTTTATATCAGGACTCCGAATTCAAATCTCACCGCAGGATACAGTTCTTATGATTAAGATTATTATGCATGAACTTAGGAAGGCACCACTCAGACACTTCTGCGTCAAGCAATTTTAATTTCTAACAAAAACATAACACTCTAATATGCGAACTCTTATGCTTGGAATTGTCAACACATTACTCCTGGAGATGTTCCCTTCATTGATCCATACATTTAACCCTCAATGATCACGTTGTTAAACTGGCTAACAGAACAATTGATTAATTCCTTAGAGTAACGCGAGCATATACGGCGATAGGAACAAAAAGTCCTTCAAAATTCATGCAACGATATTCATACGAAGGCAATAAAGAAACATGTCCCGAAGGCAAAACGTATTTGGCAATGAATTCTATGGCAATATTATGTAATTAACGAAATGTTGGAACAATGGTGTGCGGCAGTATGCCTGCTTCAGCGAATACTTATCAATTGGCTAAGGTTTCTATAAATTTGCGGGCAGATTCTCTGATCAAAAGAACAATTTCAACACAATATTCTCCCTATGAGTGTATAGATTCGTAACGTAGGTTTCTAAACGTTTAGTTTTCATCGATGAATTCGTTGGTAATATTTATGCAAATAAAATAGCCATGACTACTAAAAATACTTCTAAACGACCGTTTCCCCATAACCCAATGGCAGCCGTGTTCTTCGTTATCAGTTGATACTTGACGCACTTATCATAAGTCTTCTTATTATTTAGTCCGTGTATGTGTTTAAGTGTGGTGTTATTTGTCTTCTTGATCAATTCTTTGCGTTAAGCAGACGCCGAGGTTGGGCATCCCTTGTATCAAAAATGTGTTTGTTCCCTGCGGGGCGGTGAGGGTGTGTGTATCATATGAACAGCTTGGCACTCCCTCTTTCACACAGGCGGCCACAGTTTCTGTCCACAGCTGGGTGGAAGAGTTGGCACGATGCGTGCTGTCGGTGCGCGATGATCCTGTCGTCAGATAGCGCCCGCAGCTCGTCCGCTGGCAGCTGTTCCTCACTCTTGTCTTGGTTCCCAGCTGGTGCTGGTCGGTGTGAGTGTGGGTCGAACCCACGGCGCTCTCGCTGGTGCTGAAACTCTTGCTCACGGGCGGCTGGTCAGGCTCTTTCCCCTGCTGGATGAGCCGAGTCGGCACAATGCTTGTCCGCTGGCAGCTGACACCCTTGCTTGGTGGTGCTGGTGGCGCTGCTGCGCGCTCTCTCTTGCTCCTCTCTCTCTGGCGGTGCCGATTGCGCATGCAGCTGGTTTTCTGCAATGCTGGCTTGGTCGATGCTTGGCCCTCTCCGCTGAGAATAACTTTCAGCGATACTCTGTCGGTCCATGCCAAACTCAGCACAGAGCATCACCTCGCCCCTCTTCTCTGCGATGCACGACACGCATTGTTGATCTCGAGGCCATGCCCCGGAGCTAGCTTGCTGTTCTCTTCCGTTGTTCGCAGCACTCTTCCTTTCAGAGCTGATCCTTTGCCGAACTGTCCCTTGCCGAGTTGTCCCTTGCCGAGCTGATGATGTGTGTGATGTTGCTGGTTATATGTGGAATTTCGCCCACCAAGGCTCGCCTTCTCACAAAGGACCGGAACTTCCTTTAATTTCACTCTCAGCCTGTGGGAACAGCTGTTTGTCCGGCCTGTGTGTGTGTGTGTCATATTTATTGAGCAATATAAGTTTCATCAAGGCATGGTTCCTGTCGCCTTCCTCAAGCCATCCCGCCATCAAAAGGGAACAGATGCTCCAGATTGCCCCCGAGTGCGTCCTTCTCCACCCTCTGCACTATTTAATCTGGAAGGAGGGGGGGGGGTTCCCCCTGTCTGGTCGTGTTCTCCCCCCTCTTCTCTTCCCTCCCGGTGTGACATTCTTTTGCCTCTCACAGAGGGTGTGTTGAGGCTTTTGGAAATTAAAACATTTCACTTTACCTCTTATAGTTTGATACCGCACCACTTGAAGTTATGATTCTGTACGTGACTCAAGGTATGTTGTAGTAGTATTTCCATCGTGGTGTTTGATTTTTATTTTTAAGAGGAGATGCCCTCTGCCTGCGTATGCAAATTCTATCACGTGCTACTGGAAGACAAAGGCGGTTGGGAGACTCTTTTTCTCTCTGGGATACAGTTTATCTTGGTTGTGTGATCGACCCACCTCACCTCATCTCTTCTGGCTGGCCCCCCGGTTTAACACTTCATACTTATTATTTGGTATATGTTTCCCAATATTCGTGAATAACGTTAGTATTAAACTCATATATGAGTGTTGATAACCCTCTACTGTAGATTGTAGTCTGGTTCTTAATCGGAGTGAGTGTGTTGGTCTATGATGTTCACTTTATTCTTGTTGCAGAGTTTTTCTTGGACTTTCTGTTAATTGAAATAACCAAAAACTTGTCTGTCCGGTTTTCACCGCCCTGGAAGCTGGCGAGGCTTTGAAGCCGTGTCGGGATTTTTTTTTAGACTCTCATTAGGAATTCCCCCCATTTTTCTTTGTTTTGGGTTTTATTACCTTTTATGGCTTACCTCCGGTTGCCTGGTTGTGTGTGAGGGGAGGGGGGCTTCGCATCACCCGCTTTTGCCCCAAGTGACACCACGATTGATTAAATAAATATTGGCAAAATCATTCTTAATATCAACATGGAAAAGGCCTATATATATCCAACATGACCCAAAACCAGTGTAGATACCATGAGCTATTGATAACTGTGGCTGAGTTTGTTGTGCAGAATGGCTCACCATAAACACACACATAGGCTATGCACACAAAGATACACAGATACAAACGAGAAAAATCTCCAATATCGTTTTTT